GTTTGGCAGCAGATCGTTTATAAGTCTTCTCCTTGATTTTGACATCGACGACTCGTATTCTCTCATCTTTCCCAGGATATGTTTTTGTAACCATTCCCATAGGCCATGAATTTCTCGGAGAATGTTCATCGATTTCCAAAACTAAATCACCAATTTTCAATGGTGTGTTTTCTTTCAGCCATTTCTTTCTAGGCATAATTGTAGGCAGGTATTCATGTAACCATCTTTTCCAAAACATGTTTGTTAAGGTTTGAGCGATTCTCTATTGGCGTCTTATGCAAAAATCTTCTTTTGTAAAATCACCAGGTGTAATCAGTTTTCTTCCAGTGCCAATTAAAATATGATTTGGTGTTAAACATTCCATATCATTTGGATCTATCGATACGTGGGTTAAAGGCCTAGAGTTCACAATATTCTCGACTTCAACCATCAAAGTTCTCAAAACTTCTTCTCTTGGTGATCTTTCTTTCAAAATGGCATAAAAGGCAGTTTTTATGGATCGTGTCAAGCGTTCCCAGCAGCCCCCCATATGTGGAGTGAGAGGTGGGATGAAATGCCACCGGATGTTCCTTTTTTCCATGTCTTCTTGCATTTCTCTGTTCTGAATAGTCTCTTCAATAGATTTCCTCAATTCCTTCTCCGCTGCTTTCAAATTCGATCCATTATCAGAGTATATATGTGCTACTTGTCCTCTTCTAGCCATCATCCGACGAATAGCCATGATAGCCGAACTTGTGTCGAGAGAATTTGCTATTTCTATGTGTACAGCTCGAGAAGTTAAACAGGTAAAAATAACACCATACCGTTTTTCTTTTCTTCTACCAACTGTCACATCTAATGGCCCAAAAAAATCTATTCCAGTATGAGTGAATGGTAACATAAAAGCTGCTAAACGACCTTCAGGTAGATCACCATTTACAGGAATTTCTGGTTTATTTCTTCTCTTCTGGCAAAACAGACAATCTTTTGCAACTTTCTTGACTACCGATCTAATTTTAACTATCCAAAATCTTTGGCGAATTTGATTAATTACATAATCTGTACCTAGATGTACACATTTCTTGTGATAATGTTCCACAATCAATTTCGTCAATCTATGCCTCGAGTCTAATATTATTGGATTCTTCATATCTTCATTTGCTACTATTGCTCTGCTTATTCTCCCTTTCATCCTTAGTATACCTTCGTCGTCTAGAAATGGCGATAATGACAATAATTTACTAGACTTTTCCACTTGCTTTCCTTGTTTCAAATTATTTAACTCTTCACTATAGCTTTCCTTCTGAACTTGTCTAAACCAAATGTTTTCTGCACATTTTATATGTTTCTCTCCTAAATATTCCAAACTTTTCTCTGATATTAATTTAGTTCTAATCTTTAGTTTTTCAATAAAATATATCACCCAACCTGTGGCTCTGATTAATCGCATCCAGTTTGAGAATCTATCCAGCTTCGGTAATACTTCATTTTCATCGATGTTATTCATTTCCTTTATAGTTACTACATATTCCTTTCTCATTTCCAATTCTTATGCTGTTTTCTCATTTTCAATGATCGGGTTTTTTTGATTAATAGGCCAGTTTTCCTCCGAATTGGTTAAAAATTGCGGGCCTTTCAACCACCTGCTCTTGGACATAATTCCTGTATTCATATATCCTTTTGTCCCTTCATCAGCTGTATTTTTTTTGTCGAAATCCATTTCCACATATTGCTTTTAGTCAATTCCTGGATCTCCTGAATTCTATTTGCAATGAATGGTTTGAATTTTCTAGATTTTTTTCCTAGCCAATATAAAACTGTCTGTGAATCCGACCATAGATATATTTTCGAAAACTGTATGCTGGCATGTTCAATGATGAATTTGAGTAATCTGCTTCCTGTTAAAGCTGCGAGTAGTTCCAGTCGTGGTATCGATAAATGTTTCAGAGGTGCTAATCTGGTTTTTGCTATCATGAATGAAATATCGACATTATCCTTTTCCTCGATCCTCAAATAGGCAACTGCACAATATGCTTTTTCACTTGAATCGCAAAATATATGTAACTGTATAGAAGAATGTGGGGTGAGTATATCAGAGAACCATCGTTTAATTCTCACATTTTCAATTCCTAATATAGCATTTCTTAATTTTTCCCATCTGGTCTTGAAACTTTCTGGCAACTTCTCGTCCCAATGTAATTTGGTTTTCCATAAATCTTGTAGAATAATCTTGGCCATTACCATGACGTTTGCTACAAATCCCAACGGATCAAAAATTGACATTGTCAATTTTAGTAGCTCTCTTTTTGTAGGTAAAACTTTTCCTTGTAAAATTTCCGTTTTCAGTCGTTGAATTCTCAAATTGAACATAAATTCGTCAGTGTTAGGATCCCAGTGAAGTCCAAGTATTCTTTCATACGGCATTTCTGTCTCCAAATTCAAATTTTTATTTTCACTTGATCGAAGCTCTTCAGGAATCTGCATCATCACTTTCTTTGAATTGCAATTCCAGTTACAGATTGTGAAACCTCCTTTTTTATGAATAGAAATAACTTGTCTGATCAATTTAATTGCATTTTCTTCACTGTCGGTACTATCTAAATAATCGTCCATATAATGATGTTTCAATATCGCGTTTGAGGCTTCCGGGTATTGTGAGGCAAATTCTTTCCCATTTTCATTCTTGATGAACTGTGCTGAACAAGGAGAACATACTGTTCCAAACAGCATAACAGACATTTGATATTCTTCTACTTCCATGTTAGTTCTATTTCTCCATAAGAATCTCTGGGCTGCAGTGTCTTCATTTCTTATTTTTATTTGTAGAAACATTTCCTTAATATCTCCACTGAAAGCTATTTTATTTTGTCTGAATTTCCATATGATTCCGATTAATGAATTGTACATATCAGGGCCTTTGGACAACATATTATGGGATTTGGAGGCAGCATCAAAAACAATCCTCATTTTGTTGGGTTTGTTTGGGTTGACAACTGCAAAATGTGGTAAATACCAGGTGTTTTTATTAACAGTGTCGATTTCCAGGCTGGAAAGTTTCCTCGCATATTGTTTGCTGATATAATCTTCCATTTTAGATATATAGGCTTCTTTGAATTTCTCGTCTTTGCTCATTTGTTTTTCCACATATTTCAGTCTTCTAAGGGCAATTTCTCTACTTTCTGGTAATTTGGCTTCCCTTTTCCATAATAACCCAGTTTCCCATTTGTTTCCGGATATTTTTCTTGAGGTATTCAGCAAGGTTTCTTTGTATATACATCTTCTCTTTCAAAATACGTTCTGACTAAAGTATGCAGACTGTCATTTTCATCATTTTCGATGTTTTCATTAATGAAAAATGAATAATCATCACAAGTTTTATTTTCGTCTGTAGGAATTCGTCCATGAATGACCCAGCCTAACCAGGTTTTTGTCAGAACTGGCTCATTCCACCCTCTCTGGATGAAACTTCTTGGAAGTGATAATGGCCAATTGTCTTGTCCAATCAGTATTAGAGGTTTTGCATTTTTCATCGATTTCAGAGGAGCGTTTTTCACATAGGGCCATGTTCTTGAAATTTCTTCTATGTCTATACTTTGTGATGGTAACATCAAATCTTCAACTGACCGAGCGTTGCGTATGGTGAATATCTTACTTCCAGGTGCTACACCGGAGATTTGTAACTGCATTACTTCTGATTCATTGAAGTGATTCGACATACTATTCGTCCAGCTGATAGATAATGGTTTTCTGATACCTTGCAAATCCAGATTTTCCGCTACCATTCTATCTACCAGTGTAACAGTCGAGGCTTCATCAAAAAGTGCATAAGTATGCATTGATTTATGAGCAGAAGATAAAATAACTGGGATGACTCTCAATAAAACTCTGTTTTCTCCAAGGGTTTGTGTTGTTGCATTGAAATTTATTTGTTGATGAGATGAATTTGGTTGATTCCTCGCAGATATGTTAGAGCTCTCTTCATTCCGCTGTCTTGTCCTCCACGTTTGTTCTTCTGCTGCTTCATTTTTTCTTCTCTCCCCTTCTTCCGTCGGACTATTTTCATGAAGTAGATAATGGTGATATTTCCTGCATCCATTTTGGCTGCATTCCTTCTTTTTCTTGCAAAATTGTATTATGTGGTTTGGTCGTAAGCACGAGAAACACACTTTTTTTGATTTAATCCATTCCCATTTTTCTCCAGTAGACATAACCTCGAATTTCTTGCACTTATTTATTGTGTGGTTTGTTAGGTCACAAAATATGCATTTTTGAAATCTTTCAGTTGTCGTAAAGGCCATCTCTCCAGGTCTAGTAGAATATCTTCTTTTTTCAAAATTTAGTTTCGGCCGTGAAACAAGACTTGCCCCATCTGCAACTTTCTCCAACCATAAAGAAAAAGTCTTCAAATCGGTCATATTCCCATTAGAACTGATATGACTTCCCCATTGTAGTTTCAAACTGGCAGGTAATTTCATAAGAAGTTCTTTCAGGATATGAGTATTCATAAGATGAGCTCTCGAGTCTAAACTTTCGATGGTGGCAACTAAATTCAAGACATTGTTGGTGAAATCTATTAACAAGTCAAAGTTGTATTCCCTAATATGAGGAACTTGTCTAATGTTTTCTATAATATCTTCTATTATATAATCAGATCTACCAAATCGTTTCTGCAGAATAGATATGACTTTCTCTATTTGTTCAGGAAAATTCAACAAGTATTGAACACTATCTCTTGCTTTTCCTCGCAGTGCTCTCTGTAAACGCGCCATATTTTCTCTATCAGAGTATTTGCAAAGGACGGTAGTTTCGCGAAACTGGCTGATAAAATTTGGCCATTCCATTGCTTCACCATTAAAAAAAGGAAGATCTTTGGATACTGATTGTCTCATTACATACTTGTTCAGTAAACCTGCTGCTTCATAGTTATCATCATTGGGAATCTTGAACTTTTCTTCCACTATGGGACTCACTTCTGGCTTTAACTCAATGTTACTCGGTATAAATTCTGGCAAGTTATTTACCCAAGCTTGAATATTATTTTCAACGTCTGTAACTGTACCATCTGCTTCTTGTGAATGGTTGATAGAAGTTTCCTCCTCAATTTCCAGCTGTCTCAGTTTCAGTTTGTGTATTTCTAATTCCAGTTTCTTGGTCTCTATTTCTAATTCTGCTTTCTTGGCTTTTCTTTCGAGATGTGATTTCTTAGATGAAATAGCTTTTGATTTGGCTGTTCTGGATTTTTGCTCGAATCCTCGAAATTCGCTGACATGAGTACTCTGTTTTTCATTTTTGGATGACATTTGAAAAAATAATTTCTTGACTCGTGTCAAATATATTTCAAAATTTTTCAATTTCTTTTTCGGACTGTTTTCCACTTACGGAATTATTCTTGAAGGCTCAAAGCGTCGAAGGACCAGAAATGTAGGTGATTTGGCAAATCGTAGGCTTATAAGGGCTAATAGGCTAGCTGGCTAATAAATGGTGCACTCACACTCAATTCATCTATATTACTATATCCATAACAACCATAATATCAAAACATCGCGAACATAATACAAAGGGACTATATATACAAAGGGATTCAATAAATATAAATCTTCAACAAGTTTAAAAGGCTCAAGTGATATTAGTTGTTAATATGGCTGTTACTGACTCGTGGTATAATTATTATTAATGGAGGCGTTAAGTCGAGGAGAAAATGTATTTTTTTTAGGTACAACCAAATTAAATATCATGATTCCCTTCAGAATCGAGCTAGACGCTGGACGATATTTTACTATGGGGAGGACTTTTTTCATTAGAATAATTTTCGAAATATGCGTTATTTCAAACAAGAAAAAGTTGATTTTTATTTGCAAATATGTGGAAAATTGCCATCTGCCCAATGTTTCAAATTTCAGAATAATAGCTAGAGAAACAAAGGAGTCAGTGTTACACAGTATGTTGGTTCCTTAAGCCGTGATGATATAAAATCCAATTTTTTCAAAAAATGTCCATCAGTTCAAGATATCTGACCGTCTCAGTTACCTGGAAGTTAATTGAAAGAAGTGTTTTGGGTATCTCTTATATTATCATAATTTTACTCACAATACATCATAATTGAAATAAAAAAACAAAAACTTATAGTACAATACCAAATTATATAAAATAGAACAAAACCACTTCGAATTCAAAGTTATAACACACTAATAATTATATAAGTAATACTTAAAGCTTCCACATTAATAATATAATATTCGATCTCTTTAAATTAATATTTACATTTTTCCTATGTACATTCCTGGAAATCATCTTATTTCAATTTCCACCAATCCATGTATTTAGATTATTATTAATAAGCAACAATTCTTTACTAAAAACATTTTTTTCCTAATAATTTGGCACTCAACAATCGAAATAGTTTTGACCAATCTGCGAAAATATACAGTGAATCAAACAAATAATTTGGAGCAATAGCTAAAATTTGGATGAACAACAAAATATTCTATAATTTATTTCAATTACACTCAACAAAAGTACTACAAGCCTTGTTAATAATTACCATTCTAATGATTCAACTACAATTACAAACAATTTGGGAGCCATAAACTTCAAGAGAACATATATTGTGCATTTGTTTTACTGAAAAAAAAATTGTTTTGTTTTTGTTAACTGTGTACTGATAATCGAATGTTAATTCATAGAACTTGATGGTCAATGGAACCTGTTTTATTTTGATGAAAATTAACTGTGAAAATTTCTCCATAAACTCCAAATAAAGACAAGGCACAAAAACACATTTATCGAAATAAATGTTTCTAGTGTCATCTTGTAATAACATTTTAATATTTTAGAATTGAAATAGCTCCAAAAATATCATCACATTAATAATTGTTACCTATTCATTGTTTATGGAAAACCAAATTTATTATATTATTATAGGCACTGAAAAGTCCTGTCATTTTCGATTCAGAATAGACAAAAACATTGACATCGGTTAAAAAAATGTAGTACAGAATATTTGACAAGTACTCTTACAAACTTCAAAGGGCGAATCTTTGACTTTAAAGCTCATTGATTTCTTGTACAATAACAAACTAGGATTACTTGGAGTATTGATTTTGAAAGTCTTTACCCAATAGTTAGTCAAAGATTCACCCTTTAAAATGTGTAGGAGTACTTGATAAAAACCATGTATTCTTTACTAGACCCAATGTTTTCTTCAATAAGTCTATTTTTTATCACCGAAATTTCATTTGCTAGAATCAAAAATATTTATCTGAATAACCTTTCAAATCTTCAGCTCCAGCAAGTTCTCAAGATGCTATAAAGCTTAGTTTCAGCAAAGATGATGCATATTCTAGATAGTCAACCCCTGTGTGAAAATTGCCAACGCTCTGATAGGATTGAATAGAACGGCAGCTAATATCGGCTGTGCTGATTCGTTGACCAAATATTAATATAGGAGTTGCCCATTCCTACATTTACGGTGCGTATCTAGGGTTTTGTATTATCTTTGGTTTCAGAATGATAAAATGTTTCCAATTGTCGGCAGATTGAAGTAGAAATCTAGTTACCTGATCCTTCTGATCTGTTGAGAGCAGGACAATCATTTTTGCAATTCACATACCGAATATCATTATCAAGTGTTTTGCATTAACAATAGGAGCGCCTCGAGCATGGAATGTCCACCACGTACACGGACTGCAAACGAGCCGACACCACGCGGCGTATGTTCTTTGCAGTAGCTACTCCAAATGACTTTGTATAGTCCTTATACTAGAACCCAAAATGGGTGGCCAATTATTGCAAATCTGAGAGATATAGAAGTATGAGGAGTTGCCGCCTGCTACAGTATCTAGTTAATAATAACAGATATATCATAATGACCACTGCATAAATAGCACTCCAACTCCAACAGCATAAACAGGATCATCGTTCAATGCCAACCTTCAACCTTTCGATGTTTTGTTCGCAGGTCAAGCGTCTCACAAACTACGCTATTCCGCCAATTTTGTTGGTCTGTCTGCTTACCGGTTAATTGATTCATGAATGCCCTAGATGCAATTAACAAAGTAGTTAAGTATAGTGCCCAAGATAAGGAGGGCCAGTAAGGGTTGAATAGGAAAAAAGTTGCACGAGTGAAGGACCAAAAAAATCACTGACCTATTTTTGTTTTTCAGTTATTTCCAAATTTTCAATTTCATTTTTCAGGCCTGGAAATATAAGTAACAACTCGGAAATACAGAAACTATTCAGGAAATACAAGCAAAAGACAGGAAATACAAGTACAATAGTCTGGGATTCGTAGGGAATATAGGCAATAAACAGAAAATAAAAGCAATGACGATTTAATTGCGCAATAACAACTAATACTGGAAATATATTCAATATTTCCTGAAAGTATTGCCGATTTGGGAATACGTGTACATTTTCAACCACTGGTTCACCCCTTGCATTATTCAAGCGTTATTTGAATTACTCCAAAATGATGAAGCTCTCTCTAGACAATTTCACACTGGCGGTAGTAGACTGTTAGTTCCACCAGATAACTCAAGAGCTGCTAGAGAATATCTCTCACTCAGATCCACAAGAAGAGTGATCAGCACGTACTCTGAAACGCCCTAGCAAGCTCGCTCACCCGATTTGACCCAGCACATAACACTGATTCTTGAAGCATTTCAGAGTATAACGCTAGAAATGCTGAATAATGTTTCGAATTCATCAATAAGAAGATGTTACATTTGCTTAGAAAGCAATGGCAATCCTTTTGAACATCTCCTGCAAATTCATAAGTTTTGTATCTAATAGTTTTGACGTTTAAAGCAGTTTTTGATCTGTGCATCTGTTTGTTTCTTTACTGTATATTTTTATTAAATAATTGATTATTCACGTATTGCAAGATCCGTTGTTTGTGTTCAAGTGGACTGTATCTCTAATGAAAATTAATTTCATATGCGCAGCGTTGAAGAGGCACACCACCTCGTGTGTTCTGATCATATAATGTGAGCTAAGCGTTTCTAGCTAACTTCACTGGTTGCGGCAGCGTCCCTTGTTATACATGAAAAAACTCGCGTAATCTAGATAATATTAATTAGCCAATTAGTTGCGGTATGAATCGTTGGCTCGACTGATAGCGTGAGTCTCCGTACCAGCTGCCTTGGTCAGGTTAGGTGCTCAGTTCTTCTTCTTGTCCGTAGAGGCGCATTTCTTGTAAACATTCAAAACTATTTACGCCAATCCCTGAAATAGACGGAAAGAATTTCATTTATACTTCCTATGCACGACTTCCTCTTATGAAAAAGGAAAACGCCTGTACCCAGCATTGGCAAAGAACCTATTTCACGTTCTACACTAAATGGACGCTCTGATCAGCACCAATCTGTACTTTCACGAAATAATTGACAAATGGCACCCGCTCCTGTCTCGCTTATATTTCGGTACTTCATTCAACCTTCAGACACTAAGACCACAATGCTCTGTCAACATAGGCTCACGCAGTACAAAAAGACTTAGGAAAGAACTCTTCAAGGAACTTCGTCCTGAATCTTTCCTCATACCAGGTCCCTTTGTACCTACATTTAAAGCACTATCAGCTACCGACTCCACAAACAGACCGAATAAACTAGGTGACTAGATTTTATCATCAATTTAGCCGCTGATAATGAATCAAAAATGATAGAACGTCATTCCGTTCAAGTGCCAACATCAAATGATATAAAAAACCTGACAAAATTCTTCAATCCAAAGCGGAAAACAGATCAAGAAGGCACGTTCCGCAACTCGAACAGCTGATCGTCGTGTTCGAACCGTTCCACTCTGACCTTCTGCCTGTAATGGTACCCTATTGAAGTTTTTTTTGAGGGTTTTAATAGTGAAACTTTGATAGCCATTTCGGTTCCATAATGACATCATTAAAGTCATAAAATGAAAAATACACCTAACCTGTGAGAAAACACCAGTTCACATTTTCAATCTAGCAATCAAACAGACCAGAAAATCCAGGCGACTAGATGTGTCCAACAATTTGGTAGCTGCACATGATTCAAAAGTTGAAAAACATACGAGTACCAACTACAAATGATATCCAACTCAAACAGCTGAACGTTATCTTAGAACCGTTCCACTCTGGTCTTCTGCTTGTAATGGTACTCTTTGGGGTAATTTTTTAAAGTTGTATAGCAATAATAAAATTTAAATAGGCACTTCGTTTCCATAATGACATCATTAGATACAAAATAAAAAATCTTTGATAAAATTCGTAGAAAACTAACGAATTTTACATCCAAGCCATAAGTCAATACTAGTTCGCAGTTTAATT